ACATCTTTATATGTTTCATGTTCACCTTCAACTAAATATGTAAAGAATTCTTCTCCAAATGATTTCTCTTTCCTAGTCTTTTTACTCGTCCTAAGTTCATGTTCAACTTTATCTTCTAAAGATGAACTAAATGGAGTATTATTTAAAACCACTTTCTTAGAAGTCGAAGGTTCACTTGAAATTGCAGTCTTAAATGGGAAAACATCGTCAAAGTAGGTAGCATCTCTAGCTTCAATGATAGTATTATTTTTAATGTCACTTACTTCGAAATTTATAATCAAGAACCTATTTGCACTACTATTTTGAGCATATCCTATGAAAATAGCATCTACAGTTTTTTGTCCCATTTTTTTTTTCTTTTAGGATCAGGTATAATTACCTTTGTCAAACACCTCTACACTTTTAGAAAATCTAACCTAGGAGATCTCTTTTTCCATAGCTCATATGAAGTTTTAATATTGTCTTTAACAGTTACTCGATTCAATATCTAACAAGAAGTTAGAACAGCTTCATCCCATAAGTCTTCGGGTGCTCCGGAGCTTATGAGCATAGCATTTATCATATCCATTATAGTTCTATTCTTCCTTTCTGCAATACCATTAGATTGTGGTGAATAAAGAGGTGTCACTTCGTGTATTATATCATTATCCTCACAGTATTCCTTAAAATTATTCCCAGAATATTCTCCTCCTCTATCGGACCTCAAAAATTTTATCTTACGTTCTAATTGATTTTCGACCTCCACTTTATAGATTTTGAACTTATCATAGACTTCATCCTTCGCTTTCAACAAATAAATATATCCATACTTAAAATAGTCATTTATAAACGTTAGAAAATATTTATTACCAGCTCTTGTTGGCAATCTATTAGAATCACAAACATCAATATGAATCAATTATAAAAGGTTTGTGTCCCTTCTAACAGATTTAAAAAGTCTCTTAGTTTGCTTGGCTTATACACAAACTTCACACTTATTATTACCAATTTGAGTTTTTGGAATCAAGTTTAGATCCATAAGTTTCTTGATCTTCATATTACCAACATGACCCAATTGTTCATGCCACAAGTAACTAACTTCCATGGTAAGAATCATGATAAAGATTTTCAATAATATTCAATTTAAACAATCCATCACTAATATAACCTTTCCCAACAAAAATATTATTATTTTTGTTGTAACAACCTTATTTGACTCCATTACAAGTTTAAAACCTTGTCGAACTAAAAATAATCCACTAACTAAATTTCTTCTGACTTCTGGAACATGGGAAACTTGATCTAAAATCAATTTTTTCCCGAAGGTCATCTTAAGCTCGATACTTCCAATTCCCAATACAATAGCTATGGTGTCATTTCCCAAAGTTATGCTTCTCCCGCTTGAAGTCTAACGGAATGTCCACCATCCTTCAACATGTTTACTTGATCCTTTTGAAATTTGTCCTTAAACTTGTACGCTTTAGTCTTTTTTGTAGTAGCAATCTCTAGCAATATGGTTGGTTATTCCACATACATAACATGGCCCTTGCTCATTATTCTCTTTGCCTTTGTTATTCTTAGTGTAGTTATTTTTAGGTTGGAAATTTTTCCCATAATGGTGAAAGTTTTTCTTAAACTTATTACCTCGAGTCTTAAATTGCTTTGAGGAGCTAGCAGGGTTTTTTGAATTTTTTACCAAGTTTGCCTTGGCATGTGATTCATCAACTTTGTTGATGCGACTTCTATGATGTTCTTCTATTCTCAAGGAATTGAATGCTTGGTTCAATGTTAAAATCCCTTGTTTATGTCGAAGATTTTTAACAAAGTCTGACCAAGAAGGTGGAAGTTCATCTATAAGGCATAAAACCTTATAGTCCTCACTAAAACTTGACCATTTTTCTTCTAGTGACGTAGTAAATCTTGAAATTGATGGATTTGTTTGTTCATAGATTTTCCGTCCACCATAACATATCTGTTAAAAATTGACGCGTTAAATCTATTGACTCCAGCATCATCAATTCCATATTTTTCCTCTAATATTTTCCAAAGCTCTTTAGCACTCTTGATATTTTGATAAATATCATAAAGTCTATCAGAAATAGCACTTAAAATTCTATTATGACAATGTAATTCAATTTGTTCTGGGTTATATCAAGAAGAAGACTCTCTATCTTCATTATCTTCTTTTATAGCAGAAATTAACCCTAAAACGTTTAACCAATATTCCATTTATTTTTTTCATCTTTTAAAATTTTTTCCATCAAAGTTTTCTGGTATAACACTATTAGCATCTTCACGAGATGTCATTATTACACTATGAATTATTAAGGCAAAAAGAAATAACTGTAAATATATATAAATTTATCAATGAATAATACCAACAATAAAATTTTCAATTAAGTCAAATATTTAAGACTCGACAATATTAATTCGAGTATTCCAAGTAACAATATAATAAATTAAACAAATATTGAACTTTAAAATGACAGTTACAATTAATTTTATATTAACAATGCATAGAACGTTCAAGTCAATCAATCAAATAAATAATATAAGTTATCAAAACTTTCCACTAAATTATCAAAATGAAATAAGTGCTTAAAATTAAAATATTGAAGCAATCTGAAGAGTGCAATACTCAATCAATAAAATTTCTATGAGCTCCAAAATGAAAATTTATGCAGTAAGTTTCAAAATGAAAATTCTAAAAGGTTCTAAGATTTAATAGAATCAAAAAATTCAAGCATAATAAGAATGAGTATGTTAGCAACTAACAAACCACACACACAACTTTAAATTGTTGTAAAAATTAACATGATTTTTGCAATGTACTATCAATTATAAGCATGAATCAAATAAAGTAAACATGGGAATAGAGTTAGAAAAGCTGGTCTAAGAGAGTCGTGATAATCGCTGTCTTAAAGTCGTGTGGCCTCCCCTTCGTGCGGGTACTTTCGGCACTACACGGCTCCAAGATAAAACATTTATAGCTCGCAACCGATTTTTCTTCTATGGGCATGCCTACATGGAGAGAAAGAACAAACCCTTATCAATTGCCAAAAGTTTATAGAAAAATATAAAATGACGAGAGTGTAGCATGAGAACAGTAGTATGAAAAGAGAATAGAGAGTATTCCGTGTTTGATTTTGTTGTATCAAAGAATGAAAAATCCACCCCTTTTTATAGTAGAAGAATTCAACCATCTCATTATGAAAATTAATAAAATTCAACATATGTTACAAATATAATAATGGAATTAAATTTTGTATTGAATCTAAAATTAAACACAAAAATGAAAATTTTAAAATTAAAATGAAAACTGAAATTTTTAATATTTAATTTGAAAGTTTTATAACTTATTTTTTTTCAACAATTTTGCCTGAAAAATTGAGAGACAGGTCGTTGGAAAGGTATGGAATAGAGCGTTCTGTTGAAAGAGTCCAAGAGAAAGGTGCTGATAGGAACTTTGATAGGCTAGGTAAGGACGATAGAAATAAAAATGACGGAAGTAAAGTGCCGCAAAATGAAGGCTCTGTGGAGAAATCACACATAATTGATAGATTTCATGGGCAAAGCTTGCCTCCACCTCCAGCTTTGCTCCCTCACGACACATTATCAGTTAAGGTATCTCCCTGTATTCTCTTCTAGCTGCCATTAATTTATGCACGTGCAGAATTTTGTAAGTTCTTTCTATCTCAATGGCACATAATTTCCTTGCTTGAATGTACTGTGCAAGTATATGGGGAGAACCAGGTTATCCCTGTTTGCACCTTCATGCATCCACGGTCCACCCACGATCTACTGATTGTCTGCTTCATACCTCCACCCATAAATGCACATTCTGCGGCCATTAATTTATGCAATCGCATTGGAAGATGGTTACAATTAGGTGGTAATGCAACACAACTATTCTCACCTATCAAAGGAAATTTTATTATGATTTCTTTTTGGTGGTAGCTTACTGTGAAACAATTTTTGATGGAGTCATGGTTGTATGACTGTGTCATTTAACTTTGAATATTGGCCAACAATTTTTGAGTTTTCTGTTTCTTCTAGATTGAGGTCCGAAATACGTGCTTCTGATGCCGCTCATATTTTGGGACTTGCAAATGGGGACGTGGCTAAATTCAAATGTATAGGAAAAGTATAAAAAAAAAATTTGTGAAATCTAGTGAAGTATCACCAGGTGAGTGAAATTGAACATAAAAACAAAAGATATGAATAATGATGAGCGAGAGAAGAATGAAATGTATGCATGTATAGTTGAGTTCTTTACCGACAAGAGTATGTTTGATCTTTGGCCTAGAGAAATTCTCTTAGAACCAAATTTATTACTGATAAAGGCACGTGTAGTCTTAGATGATGATGATGACGGCGACGTTGCACGCTCGTCGATCTTCTTGAATAGTACAGAAGTTGCAATGTCTGCGCCTATCGTATGGGAACCGAGTCAAAAAGTTCGCTGGATTTAATTTTCATATCAAATTAGCACTTAACTTACAAATTTTTATTCATCTTCATCTTTGTAAACTAACGGGGCTCGCATGTAGTAAATAAAGAGTTTACACAGCATAATTGGCTACAATCAAAATTAAACCCATTTTCCCCATGTCCACATTCTTTTTTAGTAACCTTACTACATTTACATCAAACTTTTCATAATCAGTTAAATAATATCACGTGTTACTCTATCATTTACTAGTTTAAAATATAGTCAGCTTTTTCATTTAATCTTTTCTCTGCACATCATTTTATATAATCCCTTGCACAACATATTTATGTACTGGTAGCATAATTCATTTTTTAGTTGACATCATTGTCCTGAACTTTAAGGTTCTGGTGCCTTTCTGGTCAGTTTCCATCCATCTGACCTATAAAAAAGTCAAATAAAAAGAACCTGACTTGAAGGGCCATTTTCACACAAGCCTTGAGTTGGGGATTGAAATGCAAAGGGTGAAAAAAACACTGGTTTAGTGCAAGACCTATAGGTTGAGGACTATTTGAGCAAATTTACCGGCATATATTCATACAGCTTATATTAAAATCTCAAGTACTAAATTCAAAGACAAGAAAGCTGAGTATCCCGTAAAACATTAGCAAATTCATACAAACTTACTTTTTATTTGGTCCGTAATGATAAACAGTAACATATAATCCCCATCAGTGTCAAAAATGGACCTTTCTATGCTGCAGCGATTATCATAAACATAAAGCGAGGGAGGTGGTCGAAAGGAAAACGCACAACTTGCGCTCAAGAAAGAAGATGGAGGAATAAGAAATCAACGTGTGCTCATAACAAGTGCTAGGTAGGCCGCCCAAAAGAATTCCCAAGATCATATGACGGGAAAATGCATCACAGGAACCAAGAGAACTGCACCAGGACCAAAAACATGAGGGTAAATATGATACAAAGGTCAGTAACAGAAAATGCAGCCAAATGCCAGACAGCAACAAGAAAGAAGATACAAGAGAACAATGACATTAATAGCAAATCAACTTTGGTTACATAGGAAGAAAGATGCCACATAACATTCAAAAGAATTGTGAAACGTGAATGACACAGATCAGATCTTAGCTTGTGAAATAGTGAAACAAAACTGAATGGAAGCAATAACAGTTTATAACCCTCACTGCCTGAGTTTCCAATAAGCTCCCAACACAACACAAAATGCATAATTTTAGCCCTTGCTTGAGCCACATTATTTACATAAAAATGCATTTTTAAATAGTGCATTGATAAAAAATGTGTGGTTAAAAATAAAAAAAAAAATTTGAATTTGCGTGTGATATTATTTTATCGAAGAATGAGTGATTGAAATAATGTCAAATCACTACTTAAAAAAGTATTTTTCCAAATAGTGTGGATCAAACCAGGCCTTAATTATAAACAACTTTCTTACAGTATTTGAGTTGCTTGTAAACTGGAACACAAAAACCAAAACCTTCATTTGTTTTGCTGCTAAACATAGCGACAAGACGAGACATCCTTAATTAGTGAAAAACTGACAGTGGCAATTCTTAAAAATATTTAGGCTGGAAGGATTCTTTCAATAGTCTTGTCAAATAAAAACAGTTTAATTGGTCCAGTGACGAGATAGCTGCCAATCATTGTGAATCGTTTAGATTGTGAAAGAGACCTCAATAAAACAATTTCTCGGAGAAAGTATACCTTGGAACCCTGTCTTTTAGGGTAACAAAGCCTGGAAAACATCAACCGAATTTTGTTTTGACATGCATGCAATGAAAATGGGGACTTGAAATGGTTTTAATATTTTGTTAGTTCAGCAACTGGTTCAAAGTAGTGTTATGCCAACTTCTTTTCCATCTCCATTTTGGGAGGTGCAGAACACAGAAATCTAAAGAACAATGACAAAAGACTTCCAGCATAAAATCAGAAAGAAAGTCTAAGAACAATATAAACGAAGCAAAAAATATGACCCATATACAAACATCGTGGCAACAAGATGGGTAATACTTATATAGGAATAACTGTGCCTGTTTATGCATTTGTGCAATGTCAGAGCTCGATATGAGACTAAATACATACAAGCAGTTTGGCTTTCAAGAACAGCAGAGCATTACCTCATAACATAAAAAGAGAGTAAAATGTATGATATAGATATATCTTACCCGTAATCTCTAGTTTGAACCTTTATCTTTGCCATCATCTGCAACAGCATCAGTCACCAGGGACACTGGTCTCTGATCTATGACCTCATCTATAATACCAAAGTCCTTCGACTCTTCCGGTGTCATGAAATAATCACGATCCATATTCTTCTGAATTACTTCAATAGGTTGTCCAGTATGCTTGGAGTATAGTGCATTCAACGCATCCCAAACACGAACAATCTGCTTGGTATGTATTTTCATGTCCTCAGCCTGCCCACTGTATCCACCAGAAGGCTGATGGATCATAATGGTAGCATTTGGGAGACAACGTCTCTCACCCTTTGCACCAGCAGCCAAGAGAAGAGAAGCCATCGATGCAGCTTGGCCCAGACACGTGGTGTTGATTGGAGATCGGATGTACTGCATTGTATCATAGATAGCAAGACCTGCATTTAAACATATAAAAAAGATAGAAAGTAATAATCTTTTTCAATATTCAGTACATGAATTTTGGCAAATCAAGTATAATGTATGATAAAAATAAATTAAATAATCCTCCGTTTGTAGTGTGTAGGCATGAAGCCACACACATACATTTCCTCATAATTATTTTTCAAGCCCAGAAGGAAAACTCCAAAAACAGTAATTGGGAGTGAATCTTTTCTCAAGGTCACCAAGAAAATTTTCTGTCCTATGTTGAATCAAGATTAAAATTGGAATCTTATGTAGCTGTTGTTGAGCGTCGATTATACATTTTTCCCCTTTCTTGTGTCTGTATATTAATTTTCTCAATTTTTTTGGGGCCTCTAGAGGGGCATCAGAAAATGCAAATGTCGCGACACGAATAATGAAAAAAAAAAAATGAAAAAAAAAAGGTACAATCGAAGTTCAACAACAGCTAGAAAAGATTCCAATTTTAATCTTGATTCACCATAGGACAGAAAATTTCTGCTTCACTGGGCTAAATATTTCAGACCATCCTCAAGTTGTGATCATAGTATTTTCGAAAAGGATAGTGTAAAAATCTAGTTGTTACCTACAAAGCTTGTGAAAGCCATGGCTTGCAAGTTTATGAGTACTTAGGGCACTCTCCCCTTACAAACCACTTCGGATACAATTAAATACTTAAACTAGTGACGTGTTTTCATATACCAAGAAAACAAATATAATTCCAAAATGAAATGGAAAAAGAGGGTACCGGCAGTGACAGCACCACCGGGGGAGTTGAGGTACATGTGGATGGGTTTAGAAGGATTCTCAGACTCGAGGAAGAGGAGCTGGGCAACGACGACGTGGGCAGTGTCGTCAGAGATAGGTCCATTGATGCAAATGATCCTCTCCTTAAGCAAACGAGAGAAAATGTCGTAGGCGCGCTCCCCGCGGGAAGAGTGCTCAATCACCATTGGAATCAGACTGTAAAATCTATACGAGTTTGACGAATTACAGGGGCTAATGCTGTTAATTCCACTCCATAGCTTGCGAGAAAGGAAGCTCCGCATCATTGCGAAAATCTTCTATTAGGGTTTTTCAGTTACTACTTGGAAGGGAAACCGTATAGGATTAGGGAAAATGGCATCTTTAACGATTCAGTCCGGTTCTATTGTACAGTACTGTCAGCCGGTCGATATTAATTGGACCGATCTGAACTTGGAATCCTGGCATTTGCATTTCTAATCTTTTATTTTTGTAAATCAATAGTGTCACTAAGCCCTGTTTGATCCCCATTAAATTAAATTACATTACATTTCATTTTTCTCTCTCCTATTTTCAACCACACAATCTTTCATAAAATAATATTACAAAACGTATAGGATTAGGGAAAATGGCATCTTTAACGATTCAGTCCGGTTCTATTGTACAGTACTGTCAGCCGGTCGATATTAATTGGACCGATCTGAACTTCGAATCCTGGCATTTGCATTTCTAATCTTTTATTTTTGTAAATCAATAGTGTCACTAAGCCCTGTTTGATCCCCATTAAATTAAATTACATTACATTTCATTTTTCTCTCTCCTATTTTCAACCACACAATCTTTCATAAAATAATATTACACATAAATCGAAAACTTTTCCTTCTTTTTCGACCACTCATTTTTCTAAAAAATATTATTCCCCTCATTTTCATTTTTATGTAATGGGCATCAAACAGGGGCTAAATATTAACAGCCTGCTTGTCACCTTTAAAGTTTTAAATAAATTATTTACACAATATCATTTTTCACCATATATTCATATAATAAAATATTTTATACACAAATCAATAAAAAAAATTATTTTTTAACCACACATTCCCAAAAAATATTATTCAAAACTCTTTAATTTTTTTTCCAAATAATAGATGACAAACAGGGTTTAAGCAAATTAGAGTTTTATCTGATTTTAATAAAAATTAATGAGATGTGTGATTGAAAAATTAATGGTATTATAAAATATATAGTTTAAATTAATAATTCAATTTGCATTTCTACCAAACCAGGGCTAATTTATTTTAGCGAGTCCCTAAATTTTAATTCGATTTTAAATTTCATCCCTATATCATATTCGATCATCTATTGTCGTCGAATTACTTATTTTAAATCATACTTGGCCGATCTTCAACACAATCACCAAGTGGCACCTTGTAAACGAAAATTGTAAATGAGAGTTATGACTTTAAATTTAAATAATTTTTTACATCTTTCGATTAACTAAAATAAATAAAATATCAAAATATAATACATAACTAAAGGACTACCTAAGTGGCTAAGTCCTAGTTTGATTTTGTTAAGAAAAAATATTTTTATTAATTTTTGATAAAAAAAAAAATATGCATGTGTAGCTAAAAAGTCGATGAAAATTTTAGGTTATATGAAATATTTAACTAAAAATGAGTTTGACAAAAAAATGAATTTTAAGAACGAGGAGTTGGTATAGAGACTAAATAAAGTTCTTTAGAATACTAACCTCCACTTGTACTATCTTACAGGGCTACAACTGTTAAACAATTTCACATTTTCTAAAGTGGTGCGTGGGTTTACGCTCCACTTTCATGTTTGGTTTTATAAGAATTCGTCTTCCTCACTCTTAATTAGTTTGTCATGTAGTAATCACATGCAAGTTCTTTCATTATATGATAGTTAATGGAGTATTGAATTTTGAAACTAACAATTCAAATTCAAATTCAAATTCAAATTCAAATTCAAGTTCAAATTCTGTAACCTAATTAAAATAAATTAAATTAAGTAAACCAATCAAGAGATAAATTAAAAATGTTGCTAAAAATGAAGTGCTACTAATAGTTGATTACCTGAATGCCATTTTTTCAAAAGTTGGAGACCGTAGCTGCTATTTTCCCTTGCGAATTATCGAGCACAACCGCCTTCCATTTTCAGTCACTTATATAAAAGCAGAAATGTGCAGGGCAGGGGCAGGACGAAATAGCCATGGATGACAGCTTCAAAGTTCGCATGGATAAAGTATTCGGGTCGCTGGGCAATACAGCGAGTGCAGGCCATTCCTTGTGGCGCCTCACAGATGACGAAATCAAAAGACAAGAATGGAATCGGAACAAAGAAGAAGATGAAGATGATAAGGAAGAATCTGGACCCTCCGATTACCCGCTGGAGAAACCCGAAACCGATGTTGGGACCCATCTGGAATCGGATCTTCAGCAGTTGAGTGACTCTGAAGAAGAGGATGAAATTGATGGAGAAACGAAACATCGTAGCTCTAACACCGTTGATGATGAAGTCAAGGATGTTCAATCCCTCATTGGACTTGACTGCACCCTTGATTATGAGGTATGTTGAATTAATTTTACGAACACACTAAATTTCAGTTTTAATTGTTTTCGTTATTTCTTTTTTCTTTATAGATATGCCAAGTTAAATGTTTTATCAGTAACTGAAAACTTTAACACATTGCTGTCCATCTTTCACTCATCATGTTTCATAAGTCATCAATGAACTTTAAATGCTTCCGAATGTCACTGAACTTTAAAATACTTTGAGTGGTCATTCAACTTCATAATGTTTTCAAGTAAAGTTGATTTTCTATGAGATTCGACCTAAATCAAAGAAAAATAAAGTAAATAGAGCAAGCAGTAGTTTCAGTTACGGGTCAGGGGCTGGTGATTTCTAGGCAAAACTTCTTTTTCAGAGAGTTGAATTGGATTGGATGAAAGTGGTTTTTGAAAGTCATATCCTTTATTGGAATTGAGGAAAGAAGTGGGATGGCCGGAGAAATACGAAGCCTTAGAAATTTGAAATTCATCTCTCCAAGTGGTCAAATAGATAACGAGACTTGTGTTAAAGTTCAATGACCATTCGAAAACATTTTAAAGTTTTGTGAGTAAAGCACGAATGTATCAATTCATTGATTAATGAAAATTCTAGATATGCCTATTGTAGTACAATGATTACATGCATATATTCTTCTTGTTAGATTGTTGATGTAAAAATGCTATATATGTTTTTTTTTTTTTAATGACCGTGGGTGTTCGGACCAGTTTACGTAAACCTCAACTAATCTCACGGGATTTTGAAGTTTACAGTCGAATACTCATCTCGATAGCCTCGAGAGGACTCGAACTGGTGACCATTGGGGAGCAAATTCAAGATTTGACCACTGAACTACCCTTAAGGGTTGTAAAAACACTATATTATGATTTCATTTGGTTTACGTTTTTATTGTGCCATATTATTCAACCTAACTTAGGCAGAGGAAGCCAATTTATATGAATTCCTTAAGTCTCTTAGAATCACACACTTTAAATCACAGTTCAAGAACACATGAATTAACAAGCACCTATGTCTGCCGGGCCTCGGGTGAAGCTCTCTTGCACTGTGTAAAATAAATTTTAGAAAATACCATTAACAATCGAGTCCTAACCACTTAGAACACAAAGTAAAAGACAGAACAACTCATACTTCTTATCTAGAGTCAAGAATTGAAAACATCAAGGCTTCCTTCTACATGCTAGAACTGAAAAAAAGGGGCTAAAGAATGAGCAATTCAGAAACAACTTCCGTTGTGTACAGTAATTACGAAAAATGATAATAAAGAAATTTTCAAAAGACAAACTACAACCACCTCGTGATCTTTAATGAACGGTTCACAATGATTCTGACTTGAACATAAAAATGAAGTCGCTACTTCTAGTATTGATTAAATCGTGAATGTAACATGTAACTTTATAAGTGAGATATTGTACTCCCTTTACTCGTGATTTTGAAGCAGCATTCGCTCAAACTCTACCTTTGCTTCTCAACATGAGTTGGAACACAATGCAGGAAACTTCCTCCAATCTTAGCTTCTTCTTTTCTCCGGTTAGACCATATTTAGATATTAAACCGTTCAAGGCAATGTTTGAACTTAGATGAAGGAAGAACTTTAGTCCCAAAATCTCCTATCCTCCTCCGTGGATAGTGTTACCATTTCTACCAATCTTCTTGGAAACTTTCCTCTTACTATATACTTCTAAATGCTTAGATCTATCATTATATACTGAATTTTTACATGAGTGCGAGGAAGTTTGGCTGTCAATATGTAAAAGAACCCTTCTGTCTAGGAACTTCAACTCTTGCAAAGGTCCTTGCGAACATTATGATCCATTTATAGCATTTATTTATATTTATTCGGCCTCAGTGCTAGAGAGTGCAACTTAACTTGAATTGAGATTTCGTCTTGTATAGAAGTTAGTTAAAGTCAACATGAATAAAGTGGTTGATCCTCTTTTATCCCTATCTCATGCAAAATTGGCATCCACAAAACTTCAAAATCCTTATGTCGCCCCACGTTGATTGTTTCATTTATCTTCATTTATCTCCCCATCGAGAAGGCAATCATCCGGCTATTTTAGTTGCCAATCAAATTCAACCACTAAAGCTAGGATGACTCTTGATGGTTTTGTATTTTAACCACTGGTGAGAACATCTATGAAAAATCTATTCCAGCCTGTTGAATTTCGCTGCCAGCTTAGCTTTGTTTCTTCAAGGTTCTGATGCTGCCATTCACTTCTTTACCGCTTAAATTATAATTTAGCTTTGCCAAACATGCATCAAGTTTTTGTTAAAATTTTATTAGACTAGGTACATTCTACTAATCATGAAGATGGCGACATGTTTTATTTTCTGGCCTTCATGCTGATTTATATTGGTTCTTCTTTATTTTTCTCCATGTCTGTTTTTTTGGGTTTGTATAGTTCTTTTGTTGTAAATTGCACCTGACTAGACATCTGAGCAACACTAACCACTGAGTTTAAGTGTTTATTTAATGTACGCCCACACTCTTCTTTAAGAAGGCCAAAGTTTTTTAATTCGGTTGACACTATGGAGGAGATCAAACGTGGATGGTTGACGAGAGACAATCAAATCTTGGAGGCTGGAAACATAAATTGCAAAAATGATTTTATTCACTGGACATTTGTGCAAGGCATAATATGTAATTATAACTTGGTTAGAGTATAAAATGTGTATATTTTCCTTTTTCTTTTTCCAAGTAGAAGTTGACTTACATTCTTTTTTGGCTTGGTTTATGCAGGAGGAAGAAGATGAATATGACAAAGTGGCTGTCTGTAGAGAAGAGGCTGGTGACCGCCTATATATGAGGGACTTGAAAGTTGCTGATTATGGATTTGAGAGACCTAACACTTATGGCGAGCTTCCGAACACATTCCGGGATGTTGTTAGAGATCCGCGTGCAAATCACATGGCTGCTAAACTTAGGCTGAAAGAAGATGAGGAGGCAGCTGGGAATATTGATTCCTTACCATTTGCTGATAACTCTGTGGCCCTGGATGTGGAGACTGAAGATCTTAACCAAGTAGCACTCGATAGTTATAATCCAAAATCTATTCTGAAGAAAAGAGGAAATCACGTAGACTCGAAGTCCGGGAAGCGTGTCCGCTTCCAGTTGAACTCTAAAGGCAGTACTCAGAACCATGAGGAACAACAGTCTTCTGGAGCTGGTGATTTAGTGTTAGAGCCACGGTCAAGGGATGATGATGCGGCACCACAAGAAGCTGCTGATCTTTCGCAATTTTCATCTGGTGTTCCAGACTATCTAAAGAACCCTTCAAAATACACACGATATACTTTTGATTCACCTGAAGACATGGATGAGCAATCCAATCGAAAGGAATATATGGACTTCTTTCATCAGCTGAGGGGAAACACTGAGAGCTCATCGCAGGATGACACTTGTGCTGACATCCCAAAATCAATACTATTCACTCCAAAAAAGAAGCGAGAAGATGACTTAATGGTGAAGAGAAGGAACGAGTCTGTGGGAGACAGTGCTAAGAAAAAGGGATTTCCCATTGGTGTTGCGGAAGAAGATGCTCAAGAAAGTGAAGTCAGTGCAATGGAAGAAGACGAGCCATATATAGCAAATGATAAAGGTAACAGCTTGCAGAAACCAGGTCGCCAATATCGGTCAAGGACAAGTGCATGTGATGACGACAACTTGACCTAACTACCACTTGGATAATATAGTCAGCATTTCAGTTCCAACACTTGATAGTTTGTACTGCTAGTTGGCTTCATATTGTGATTTGCATGTGGAAAATGGAGTTAAATTTTCTTGTTACTTTGCACGCTTGGATGGCTGGTCGTTTCTCATGGCTAGTTCTGTGCGAATTATCCTTGTTTATTGCAAATTTATTGCTACATTTATCTTGCCCCATAATTTAATAGGAAAAAAATGCAGTTTTCGGAAAATTCAGTTGTTGCTGGTAACGGAAGCTGAGCTCAGTTTTGCTGCTGCTAATCTGAGTATTCGAAGAATCATAGATGGGATTGCTTTATTGTCCATAGCTATTTAAAGTTATCGCATTTGCTACTGAAATGCCCCTTCTACGCCAAAGTTTCTACTTGAAAGTGCTCGAAAGTTGAAACCATGGTGCTCAGAACAATGGTCACAAATGTATAATATCTCAAGCAATTTGATGGGTCCTTGGATCTTAGGAGGGACGTTTTATTTATAATGGTGAATTATCATTTATCCAACCCTAATTCATTATAAATGTAACGACTTAGGTGAAATCGACTGAAAGGAAATTCACACACATTTTATCCAAGAAATCCAAACAGTACATCTTGGGGGCCTTAAATGGATGTCATATCAGATTTTTAGTAACCAAATGATCAAAAATGAAATTGTTAGCAACTTGAGTGACCAATAAGATATCAAAAAAAATATTTTCAGTAATTATATTTGAAATTTCGTGCATACTTCAATGATATTTTGTTATTTAACTCGATTAATAGTACATTGGCCCATTTGTATTCAAGGTTCAAATAATTTTTTTTTTTTCCATCTTCAAAAGATCAACTTATTCACTCAACACCAATTTTTTTGATCCATGACCCTGTCATCATTGTGCCACAATATCCTGCGCAAGAAACATCACCAAATACATTACATCAACTAAAACGACTTAATAACTTCGTAAATTCATTGATCATCTATGAAAAAATAAGGTCCGACGACTAAAGCAACAAGTTTTGAAAGTTGGGTCATCGACAAAGCATCTTTACCCACGACTAAAGCAACAAGTTTTGAAAGTTGGGTAATCAACAAAGCATCTTTACCCACGACTACAGCAACAAGTTTCATCTTTACCCACGAAGGAGAACAAAAAATTGAGCTTGCTTCTCCCAATATGGAAAAAATTATAAAATTTTGAATAGTATTTCTCGGAGAATGTGGCTAAAATTTAAAAAAACTTTATTAATTTATGTGGAGAACATTTTATTGTATGAATATGTCTTGAAAAATATTACTGTAGCAAAACAATTTAATTTGTTAATATATGACAAACAAGAGCTTAATTTGTGTCAGTGACATAGCCCCTACTTGGTTCAACTGCAAAAATTGATTTAGCCAAACCAAGACGAATTCTTTTTCGATACTGTGTCTTTAGTCAAAACACTTCAATGATATCTTGAAAGTAAATAATTAGGCCTTTCAATGCAAGGGCAAATTTAATAATTACTGTATAGAAATAAGAATAGATATATAGAAGAAAATTAAAATACAATGTGGACAACAATATTTAGGTAGTAAAAAAAATTTCTGATAATACAGTCTTTCATGCCATCAAATATTAGATGCAACCCATTATCTGCCCATCTCAAGCAGATTTATCTGCAGCTTCTTAATAGGCCAGCCGTGAAATCTGCTAGCTGTTTTCCGAAGGAGAGACGACTTCAGCACTGCATACTGGACAAACCTGCACCGAAACAGAATTTAAGCATCCATCATTTCTATCGTGTACAAGAACAAAATGATTTAACAGGGGGTTAATTTCTTCTGCAG